TTTGTTTTTGTCCAACAGATATAACCAATGAAACACTATGACATTTGTAGCTGTTGTAACGTAGAAGTTAGAAGTTTTTTTATTTTTCTGTTAAGCCTGAATACCATCTTTTGGGATGAAGAAGATAACACTGAACCCTTCGATAAAAAAAAGGCTTTGCGCATCTGGATGCGAGTGCATCTTTAAGATGAGATTGTGTTCCAACTTATCATCCAATCTCTTAAACTCTTCGTAAATAAAGCCTTTAGTTGTACAGCTTACAGTTGTCTTAATGTGATATCCAGATACAAATTCAAACTTTCTTCATTACACCTCAGCCAAACTCTCTAACAGGCAATGTCTGTATATGAATTTGACATACGAGCGCAAAACTCACCCTAACCAGGAAGTACCTTCCGGTACAAATGCGTCTTGTTTTAAATAATCGCAGCTGCTACAAAAAAAATAAAAATATCAGCATGCGCTGTTCTGCTGATACTTTGCAGACAAATATTTCAACCTGCAAAATGTTTGCAGCACGCGTTTGTTACCAAACATGTTGCGTAATAATGCACATCAGTCCCTCATTAATTGTTTCAGTCTCGCGAGATTTGTGTTAGTTTAACAAAAAAATATATTAAACTACATCACTGCGTATTTTTAAAGTCGTGTATGTGCTCTAAATGATTTAAAGAAAAAAGTAATTTTCATACAATTTTACTTTAAATGTACCATAGATTCCTTTTTATATTGCACGGGCTCCCCAGTGCATGATGGGATATGTAGGAAACAAAGGAAGAGAAAAAATGTTACGTGTTCATGTCTTTTTATTTTATTTTACAAATATTCTTATTTAAAACAAAACATATTTTGACATGATTTAAACAAAAAATATTTAAAAAATTATATTTCATGAAAAAAAAATGCTATTATTAGTTAAGGGATAAATTAGACAGAGTATAAAGGTGAAAACACAACAAATAACATTCAAGTAAGAAATTTAACTTTATTTTAACATTGGATATGAACAAAATCAAGCACATAGTTAATACTGTACAACATGTAAATATGGCACTTGTGACATTTCCTCAAAATCATTTGTTTCTTGCTCCCAGTCAATGGTTTGTTCTCCGTTCTTCATTGCAGTGCGTTCATCAAGGCCTGTGCCTGTTTAAGCTCTGTGAAGCAGATACCACAGCATTTTAGAGATCAATAAAAAGCATTAAAAAATGGAAATATGATTAGAAAAGAAAGAAAAAAATAACACTAACCAGTAAGCAAAACTCGAAACTTATCCTGTGAAACTGAGACCACTGTAGTGTCAGAGGAGCCTGGTTCTGATTCATGGGTCTGAAGTTTAAGATGGATCAGGGGTTCATTCACCTCTCCGAGTTCACTAGAGCTCAGAGTGTAATCCACACGCCAGGAAACTGAGTCCAGTCTTCTTACTGCAGTTCATGAAAGGGTAGATGGTACACGCAGTCAGCATACTTCACTCCAGACAGCATTCGTCATCAAAAACCTTTGACCTCTATTGAATTAGGAAACTCACATCTCAGGCTGGTTTCTTTTAATTTGTCTTGAAGTGCAGAGTGTTTGTCTTCATAAGATTTGCAAAGCCCCGTAGCATGCTCTAAGGAAATCAGATAATTTTAATGATGCAGAAATTAAAGAATAGAAACAGTTTTGCAACAAAAATAACATTACTAGATTGTCAAA